TTGAGCCTTGGCGTTTTCAGTAAATAAAAAGCCGTTTTTTTTTAGGGCTCATTCTTTTGCAAACAACATTCCAAATGCCCAGCGCAAGATCTGCCACACGGGAGGCCTTCCGTTGAGCCTGTCCTCCCCTGAGCTCACTGCCCACTGCCCTCGTCTCTTATTCTTTATTTAAGTGCAGCTGCCCGGTTTCCTGCAGTAGTTTCCAGGGTGTGAAGAGGCTGGAGGGATAAATGTAGTCTTCAGTGCAGACTTACCCACTTTAAGTGAGTGCCTACCATCATTTGTTTTGTGATTTCAGTGGGGTGAGCCCATTCTTGGGGCAGTAAATGAGGAACACCTGGCTGTTGAAAGCTGAGTGCTTTTTTGGCCAGGCTATCTGAGCAAACGGAACCGAATTTGCTTCCCAGAAGTGACTCAGACACTTACAGTTGCACTCAGGGTCTTTCTTGCAGCAGGCTAACATTCACATAAGCTCCCTGTCTTTTACAACGTGGCGTGGAGGGAAAGCAAAGTCCGTGAGTCACTCTGCAGGCCTCAGGCTCCCCAGTGAGCCCTGACAAGCACTTCACACCGACCGCAAAGAATTCTCACAAGTGTGTTTACAACTTGGTCATTTGGGTGGACATGTCCCAGCGCTCGTGGGGAAAACTTCCATCTGCCTGAGCACCTGTGCACAGCAAATCACACGAGACGCCTGCGCTCACTGGATTTTGCTTCTGCTCCTGATTTTTGTCAGGTCGGGTATGCGGAATAGGTGTTTACTAAATTCCCTTCAGATGCGTGGATGAAGCCACTTACAACTTACAATGAAAGTACACCGAGTATTTTCCAAGGACCAGGCGTTGTTTAAGCTCCTACTGCATGACCTGAGGAAGTAGGTTCAGTAATCATCCTGTTTATAAGGAAAGTGGACACCGTACATGTTCCCAGCGTGTCTCAGTCTGCTTGGGCTGCTGTAACAAACTATGTAACTGGGTGATCACGAACAACAGAAGTTTATTTCTCACAGGCCGGAGGTCAACCGCTGCTAGACTCAGCATTCACTGAGAACCACTTCCTGGTTCATGGATGGCTGTGTCCTCACGTGTCAGGGGGAAAGGACAAAGGAGGTGTCCAGGGCCTGTTTTATAAGGGCGCTAATCCCATTTGTGACTCACGATCTAGTCATGAGTCACACAGTCCCTACCTCCAGATCTATCACTTCGGAGGTTAGGACCTTACCAGACATTGAATTTGAGGGGGACACAAACATTCAGTGAATTGAACGCAGCTAGAAATGACGGATTTGGGATTTGATCCCAAGCAATCCAATTCTAGAATGCATTTTCTTGATTCTTGTGTGTGAATGGTTAAATTACTACCTTACTCCTGTGTAAGGTAGGCTAGGTTTTCTTGCACAACCAACAACCCCAAAGTTCAGTGGCTTAAAACAATTAAAAGCACTTCTTGCTAATGCTACTTAACCTGTTCAACATACATCGGCAGGGTCTCTGCTTTCTGAATGTCACAGAGGCCCGGGCTGAGGAAGGTTTTCTTTGAACACATTTTTAACTTAGGAACTGCAGTAGTGAGAAAGAGACCATGGGTGGAGCTCTCAGGCTTAAAACTTCTTCCAGAAGTGACATAGGTCACTTGGGCTCATAGTCCATTGGCCAAAGACAGTCAGTGACCACGAGGGAGTTCTAACATGAACAAGGAAGTGCAGCCTTTCTGAGGGCTGAGAGGAGAACTAAAAATTTATGAAAACCCCCAATGATACCACAGTGACACACACCCTCGTTTTAAAGCCAGAAACGTTGGAATTTTCTTGAAGGTGGAATCCAGTTTTCAAAGATCTCAAAATAGAAGTTGATTTAAAAAAAAAATTGTTGTGGTTCTTGAAGGATTAAATTTGACTTATCTGGAAAATTCTTATTTCGCTTAATTTGGATGAATGGCACTTGTTTGAACACTATCTTCTTTAAACTGGTTGGGAATCTTATGTCGAAACCATGAAATAATTCTTAGTTGAAGTGATGATTTATAGGTGAGCGTGTCTCTAGAAAGTACTGCTCATGTATTTAAAATATTTGTTTATGCTGCCCAGTATCTCATCTCACTAACTACACTGTACGGGAAGAACCATTTCTTACTAATTTATACTCTGTAGTGCTTGGTGTTATGGAAAATGGCTATTTAATTGGTGCTCATATATTTTATTGATATGTTTATCAGTTAGTAGTTTATAAATCACTATAACTAGAGATCCTGACGTCAGGAGATGTCACAGAAGTTGAAAACATTTCAGGCAGCATTTTAAGAGTCGCTTATTGTCAATTATGGTGGTGGGCGAGGAAGGCCAAAATTCAGTCATCTCTGAACTTCAAGGGCAGTTCTGGCTTATACGCTGAATCACAAGGGAACCAGACCTTCTTTTCAAATATCATTTTTCTGTGATGTTTTCACTTGTTTTATTTGGCTGTAAGCTTTGGATGAATTTTAACTTTTACAAAAAATTGTGGAGCAAATATAAGTGATCAGGGAGGAATTCGATTGCCCAATATTTTGCAAGGCCCTAAACAGTCTTCAAAACAAGCTCATCCTAGCCCCTAAATCCACACCCTTCCTGGATGACAGACAGAGGGTGATGCTCGTTCTCGTGAAATGCAAAGTACTTGGGGACATGGCATGTGAGGGCAGAGCTTGGCCCAGGAATAGCGTTGCTATAATTTCATGGTAAAATTATTCCCCTTGGAGAAGGCTGCTTGAACACAGTTACTCATTGGTCGGGTCCCAACCACACGAGTGTGTTTCCAGAATCCATCACGCTTAAGTCGTTCCGCATGTACTTGTAAACGTTCATCTGATGGCCTCCGTAACAGGAATCCTGGTCCCTCTGCTGGGAGTCAAGGTGGCAGAAGACAAGTATAGTGTTGAGATTTGGGTGCTGGGTGACCTGGGTTCAGAACAGCTATACATCAGCTGTGTCGTGACCTCGGTAACGCTTAGTTCCTTTGTACGAGGGACAAAGGTGTCACGGGTATCATAGATTGTCATGAACGTGGTACGCCTTCCATCAAACTTAGCTTTTACTAGAACTATTTTATTATTGTCTCTATAAAATCATATAGTCAGGGTGAAAGGCTCTCAAAAGATGTTGGACACAGCTGCCCACCCATAATTTAATTCTCTCTACAGTTTCTCTGACTTTTCAGATGTTCTCCTACTGAACTAAATTCCGCTTCATCCCACACCTTCCACCATCTGCAAGACACAGGACCAACGCTGGCCCTTTCCTCAGGCCAGCCCCGTGTGAACTTAGAAAGGCTGTTCAGCGCAGATGTTTCTTAACTTTCCTTCCCTGTTCCTGAAACTCTGGTTTCATCTCCCTCCTCCCCTCAATGTCAAAGCTTTGGAAGGAAGAGTCTATGGATGGGGCTTGAACTTTTCCCACTTTTACTTTGTCTTCAGCACCTTGGGAATAGAGTGATTCAGCAGCTCCTCAAATGAAGGAGAAGGCTAAAAGGCAGGTGGAAAGCAGAGAGAAATCCTAAAACTGGCTTCTTCTATCCAACTTTTTATAGTGACCCAGCCTCTATATTAAGAGCGTTACAGATATTCTGTCATTTAACCCTCACCTGACCCTCTGTGCAGTACGTGTGAAAATTAGCTCCATATTACCTTGGAGGAACACGGTTGTGAGAGTCTGAGTTCATCCTGCGTTCTGAACAATGTGGTGGGTGAGTCAGGATCCGTCTGCACAAAGTTTTCACGTTCACAAATAGAAAGTTGGATACGTATGGAGACAGAGATAACTGTAAGGTCTGTCAACACTATTGGGCACAGGTTGGATAGAAGACATGTTTGTCAAATAAAAGACATATAAAACACAGCTGTTTTCCTATATAGGGAAGTGTTCGATCTAGCAAATATACACAAACACCTCAGTATAACAATTCATAAGAGACTGAATGCCCGAGCATTCTATGTGAGGCATCCCTTCTACTAATTTTTTTAAATTTAAAACTGTTTATAAATATATAGATATAGTGATGTAGAGGTGAAGCTATATAGGTACAAGCATAGATAGTGATAAAAGGGAGATATAAAGAAGCCTTGGTAAGAAGGGGACTAAGGTAGGAAGGAGAAAAACAGAGGGATGAACCAATTCAGGTTGTAATACATATATACATGGAAATGTCACAAGGAAACTCCCTGTAGAACTATCTTAAACAAACAAAAATGTCATTTTTCTTTTTTATCATTTACAAATATTGGAGAATAGGAGGATCAGAACAGGTGCTGTCTGGTGGGGTTGGTACCAGTAGGAGCAGGGAGGAGGTGCGAAAAGGGCGTGGGAGGGTGAATATGGTGCAAACACTGTGTACACATGCATGTAAATGGGAAAATGAGACCTGCTGAAACTGTTCCAGGAATGGGGGAAGGGAGATAAAGGAGAATGTTGGAGGGGGTGAATTCAAGTGCGATATATTTGATATATTGTAAGAACTTTTGTGAATGTCACAATGTACCCTCAGGCAGCATAACAGTAAGAAAAGGAAAACAAATAAACTAAAAAAGCTAGAGAAACAGCCAGCCGCGAGTGCACAGATTCCGGTGTGTGAGCTGCAGAGACGGTGTGGACCAGGACGATCTCTGATGCTGCATCCGGCTTGTTGGGACTGAGTAGAGCAGAATGGGGCAAAAGTAGGAAAGGGGATGAGAGAGAGGGAGGGAGAAGGGGAAGAGGGAACATGTTGTCTAATACTTTTATTTGTATTTGTAAACATGTCAGAATAAACTATCAATAAAAGCAGCAGGGCGCAAGGGCTTCAGTTCTAATTTGGGGCCTCACATAAGAATTACATAAATGACATTAGACTCTGAGATCTGTTACCGCTCAGATTTATAAAGCCATGTCCTAAACAGTGCACTAAGGAAGGATAGCCCTGTAAGTGCGGGGCCTCTCCTGTCCCCTGTGCTGGGCCATCCTGACGCCGTCTTTCCCTCTTTCCCTGCAGGCCGTGGGCTGTGACCGGCAGCTGGGAACCAGAGCCAAGGAGGACCACTGTGGCGTGTGCACCGGGGACGGCTCCACCTGCAGACTTGTGCGGGGACAGTCCAAGTCACACGTCTCTCCTGAGAAAAGTAGGTTTGGAGTCCATTGGCTTCTGCAAAGCGCGATGTGTCTTAGACCCTGTGTGCTGGACCGGCCTCTCGGGACGCTCAGCTGTTCTGGGCTGGAAATAATTGACCAGTTTTCTCAAAGTCAAATTTCTCTTCAAAAGCATTTATAAAAACTTTGTTCCATTATCTCTTTGAAGTCTATCCGCCTCTTTGAGCCTTTGCCAATACAAGTATTCCTGTTTTTAAAATATTTGTCAGTTTCTCAGATAAACTGGTAATTTCTTCTGTTTTCCCTCCTTTGCTGACAAGAGAGGGGCTAGTAACACCGTTGCTCGTTTACACTTTTCACTTTTCAGTCATCCATTGAACCTTTCATCCATTTTACGGTTAGCTAATCTTTCCTTATTGTTTTGAACTTTTAATATGCCATGAAGTGAAGCTTTTGTCTGTTGTACCTATTTCTTTCTAGTTTCTTTTTTTGGCACTGGGTTTGAACTCAGGACTTCGCACTCTACCCCTTGAGCCACGGCCCCAGCCCTGTCTGCTTTAGTTCTTTTTCAGATGGGGCCTCACACTTTTGTTTAAGACTGGCCTCAGAACATGAGCCTCCTCTGTAGCCGGACGCAGTCCTGCACCATCCTATCTGGTTTGTTTGTTGAGATGGGATCCCAGCATTTGCCCATGCTGGAAAACTGTGTCCTCCTGCTCTTCACCCTGAGTGCTGGGATTATACTCGTGAGCCACCTTGCCAGACAGTGATACCTATTTTAAATGTGATTTTCAGCTTTTCAGTTGACTTTCCTTTCTGTTTGCATTTATAGAATCAACAGATTCTATGATTTGTTTATTCAGAAATTTCTATTTTTGCATTTCATCATTATCTACTTTTAAAAAAATCCTTTAATTGCAGAAGTCAGTTGTGTGTGTTAAGAACCAGCTAATAAAACTTTTATTCTTTGCAGGGCGTATGACCTCTGTCCCGGCTACTCAACATTACCATTACAGTCAAAAGCCTCCAGACAATCTCTAAACAGACAGACAGACATTGCTGTTTTCCAGTGGAACTTATTATTTATTATTGGTGGACTGGGGTTTGAACTCAGGGCTTCATACTTGCAAAGCAGGTGCTCTACCAATTGAGCCACACCTCCAGTCCGTTTTTGCTCTGGGTGTTTTTGGACACAGGTCACATGAATAGTTTCCCTGGCTGGCCCCGAATGGCAATCTCCCCACTCTCAGCCTCCCAAGTGGCTAGGATTACAGGTGTGAGCCACTGTTGCCTGGCTCAATAAAACTTTATTTATAAAAATAGGCCACAGGCCAAATGTGGTCTTCAGGTTGTGGTTTGTTGTGACCCCCACTTTGAAGGGGAAAAAAATCAGGATGTTTTCTGCTGGTGTTCTCATGGCTTTGCTTTTCTACTTTTCAATCTGTTCCTTTGAATTTGTTGATGTAACTTTCGAGGTAGGGATCTTATTTATTTCCCAAATGAGGAGAACTTTATAGGTGGGCAGTGGAAGACGTGACAGATCCTCCAGGGAGAGGAGGCAGTCAGTTCTCCACGTGCCACGAGAAAGCCTGGCTTTGTTGAACTACTCACATGCAGCTCAGGCTTGTGTGCACACCGAACAGGTAGAAGACAGACAGACAGCATTTAGGAGCCAACCATAAAAGCCTCCATTGTGGTATTTGATATTTCGAGTTATGTGGAGTCATGAAGATGCTTTGGGTGGTGGAGTGACACCGTTAGGTTTGTTTTACTTAGAAATAATTCTGGCAGTGTGTGGAAGTGGAGGCTGGATTGGTTGTGAGGTCAACTTGGAGGTACAGGTCCAATAAAGAAGCTTTAAAAAGTGCTCAAGGGCGTTAGAAATAACAGGCCGGGGTGTGGGTAGCTTGCCAGAGAGCTACTGTGGATTCTATGAAGGAAGACAGTGTGAGGAAGGAGGAAGCCAGGAGGAAGCAGGTTTTTCAGCTTGAGCTGCTGGATGGGTCAATTTGCTCTTCTTTCGGGTAAGGAATTCCTGCAAAGGAGGCACGTGTCAAAGGCAAGAGCTCACCTCCATGGAACTTGCTCCTCTCCACGGTCTTGGCCCCCTTCTGATGCATTCAGACAGCTGTTGGGTACATTTTGTTTGTGGTGAGAAGGTTGATGTGAAACATGTCACCCCATCATGGCTGACAACCAAATGGCCTTGTTTGTGGTATTCAGTTATAAATGTAGGTGAGTCCACCCAAAGAGAGTGCATAGAATATAAGGAAGCCAGGACTGTAACCTGAAGGACATCTGAAGTCAAGACATTTAAATAGGGAAGAAGTTTCAGGGGATTTGACACAGAAGGAACAAAGAGCTGGCAGGAAGACATGGAACTTAGCAAGAGCAGGGTCATGGAAGCCAAAGGAGCAAGTAGGTAATGGTCAGTGATGCCAAATGCTCTTGTGAAGACGACTTAAATCGGAACCCCCAAATTTCATTTTCATGACTTGAAGATTGTGACATTTCCAAGAGGAATTTCAGGCTGAAAAGGAAGACTGATTGTGATGAATTAATGAGTGAGGAGAGGTCTAGGGGAGAGATTTTCCCGGGATAAGAGGGGTACAAACCAACACTGTGTCAAGAGCTGAGTGACCACACAGGAACAGCCGGAGACCGTGGTGAAAGACTAAATGTACCCCATCCTGTTGGCTCTGTGGGATGCTGTCATAGGAGGCAGAATTGGCTACCAAGAATCTGTGTTCCCGGGGACTCATGTGCAGTCCCATGAAGGAAGGAAGAGCTTGAACTCACCGGCAGCAGTGATGAGGCAGAGGAGTAGCTGTAAGGCCCAGTGAGGCTGCAGGCCGTGGATCTGTGGCAGTTCCGACCCATGAGCCTTGAGAAGCAGGTGGCTTTGAGTGGAAGTGTCTCAGCGAGGAAGGCGCTCTCCTGCAGATCAAAGGAGACCCAGCTCGCAGACATCGGAGTTGATGTGTTTCTTCCAACGAGGAGTCTTGAGTGGGCAGTCCCAAAGGGAAGCTGATCTGTGATGTCTCCTGGGGTCCTGGCTCTTCTCGCTCCACAGCCTGAGGGTGTGGCTTTCATTCCACAGCTTCAGAGGAAGACGACAGTGCAGAAGGCACTCGTAATACCGTGTCCTTTATTTGGCAAGAGGAGGCCTCCCCGGGGACTTTGTCCCCTTGGCCAGAACTGCTGCACACGATCCTCTTGGTTCTGAGGAGATGGTTTTCCCTCTTCTCAGGTATCCACAGGTATCTGTTCCAAGGAGCCCGCCATTGAGAAAAATGGGGAATGCTCTGGACACACAGCTCAGTGCTGTACCGAGATGCTTGGTTCATTTTCCCAGAATGCCACCAACTTCTGCTAAAGACAGGCCACCTTTCAACACATTTCAAATTGTCACTGGGTCACTTCAGTTAAGTACATTTGGTGCCCTTTTTGGCTTGGGAGGATTACCATCACTTTGACCATGCTTTTGGGATACCATTTGCTTTTTTGGGAGGCAGATTTTCACAAAATGAAGGACCGAGGAACACTCAGCAGATCACACAGCAATGTCAACAACCGACGACCGCGCAGGACTGACCGAGCATCTCTGTGTAAACCGGGCTGCGGAATGAGGCTCGCACAGGAATTTACAGTTTCGTTTTTGAAATTTCTTTTGAATATTTATTTATTGACTACACTTGGCCAAAAGCACATGTAATAAGTCCACAAAGAAGGCGAGCTGACTGTTTAGTTTTCCCCAGCTATTGTGTTTTTAATAATATGCCATAACGCCTCCTCGTTCCCAAAGCTCTCTTCAGACCTCTGCCATCTGCGTTCTAGTTTTGATATTGTCAAAGCTGTTTTCAGACGAGGACACTAAGGACCAGAGATGTTAAGAGACAGCTCATTAAATTAATTATAAAGAGCAGTGTGGGAAGTGAGTAATTATTGGGGTGTGGGGCCAGACAGCCTGGGTTAAATCTGGTGTCTGTGGCTGACTAACCCAGTAGGTAGAAGTTATTTGTCTTAGTTTTCTCATTTTACGCTGGGAATAACAACAACCTTTGTCAACTCGACATTGCAATTGTACCCCCTTCAAAGAGCTGTCAGGACTATGTAAATGAGTCCATACCACGTGTGCCACAGAGAGCTGGCACCTAGACGTGCTGGCTGGATTTTTAGTAGAGACATGACTCACTCGGGTACCCACACGTCTTCCTACCTTATACATGTGGATATTTGTAAATAGCTTTTTCAGCCAATAGTCGGCTATCTGGGGATGGTTTTTAAGATTGCTGCTGATGGCATGGAGCTGTTGGCAGTAGAAGAGTGAACTGTGGGAGAAAGTGGCACTAGAAGAAGAACCCAGACAGGGAAGGCAATGGAAGGGTTGATCCAGGAAGGCTCTTGGGTGAGTGGCCTGAGAGGGGCACAGAACAGGTAGCTCAGGTGCTGGACAAGTGCCTAGAGTAGCCTTGGCCTTGGGAAGTTTGAAACCTCATCAGAGAAGACTTCATTTTATCTGTCCAACCAAGAGAGATCAGAAATCAAGATAATGCTAATTGAACCGGGGGAGAATTCCCATGTTGTTATGTTGAGAAACCTGTCTATTGTAGAGAAGTGGAAAGGAGGTCCTTGAGTACAGAGGGCCATGGTGGCTGAGGGGCCACCTGTGTGTGCTTGGTGGCTTCCCACTCTTGGTAAGGTCCTTCATATTCCATCTCCTCCCTCTGCTCCCTCTTCCTCTCCCTTTCCCCCTCTCCCCTTTCCCTTTCATTGACTTTCAGCTTTTGGATTACACATCGTTTGAAAACATTGCATTTTTCTCTCTAGGAGAAAAATTCTTGTGGAATCCCTAATTTATTTTTTGTGGTACGGGGATTTGAACTCAGGACCTTCGCCTTGAGCCACTCCACCAGCCCTGTTTTTGTGAAGGGTTTTTTGGGATAGGGTCTTGCAGAACTATTTGCCTGGGCTGGCTTTGAACCTCAATCCTCCTGATCTTTGCCTCCTGAGTAGCTGGGATTACAGGCAT